AAGTGACGTGAGTATGCAATTGCAGAGCCGCACATTTTTTTTTTACTGCTCAATTTGTAGCCTTGGTCTCTGTTTGATCACCAATGCCTGTGTGAGAGGCGCGCGCACTTGCGCCCTCATAATGATCCCGGTGGTGAAGCCCATAAACTGTTGCCTGCGGGAATATGGGGGAGGGGGGTGCAGATGGAAGGTGGGGGGAGCGACGCGAGAGTGGTGGTGGCGGGGGGGCAGCTAATGACTTCCACTTGGCAATGCGGCGGATGGGGGGGGGGGGGACAAGGAGGCGGGGTTGGAGGGGTGGTTGAAACCACAACGAGTTCCTTCCTCCTCCACGCGCTCCACGCCTTAAAACTGAGAAGCGAAGGAAAAGTGGCGAGGCGCCGGGGATGTGATTAGGTGCAGTTACGAGTTGATGGTTGGCTTGCGTTGTTTACTGAGGAGGGCAGTGATGGCCATAATGCAGGGGTGGGGGGTGGGACTCTGAGAAGGAGGTCAAGATGCGTATTGCTCTCGGTCAAAGTTTCGATGGGCTATGGAATCCACCTTGGAAGAGCAGAGAGGTAAGTCAATAAAAATGTCAAGATATGGGTCTTTGATGCGAGAGTTGCTATCCGTATTGGTGTATCGACCCGAGAGCGCTGGACGCCGAGCGGAACGAAAATAAGTCGCGGACATTTAATCACAGGTGTCTGAGCCGGATGTTTGGAATTCCGTGGCAAGGCAAAGATAAGCACCGCAGAAGCCCGGAAGAGACCGCGTCAAGTGAGTGTTGTCGATAGGATCAGGGGCGCAGCTATGGGGGGGGGGGGGGGTACGTGGCAGCGTTATGCGACGCATAGGGGCCAACTCGGCCGGCCACAAGGGGGACCGGAATCAACATGCGCAAGTTAAAAACATTTTTTTAAAGAAAAATATTTTAAAAACATATTCCAACAATTGACCGTAAATGCCCCCAAAACATTGTTACAAGTGAAACGATGTTTCAGAAAAAAATCGCAGCGTCAAATATGGCAGGGCTACTGCTGGTGTTTGTTACTGAACACCAGGCGTTTTTTGCTAACTCATGCGCATGAAAGCGAGACGCACAATAACTTAATTGTGTGTATTGTGCCTTTACATCTTTATTGTTAATACTGTCACTGTTAGATTGTCTTCCTCTAAACCCAATACACGGCACAACTAAAATAGTATATACAGGGTGCTTCAAAATGTTTTTTTAATACTTATATGAGACGATCGTTTTTAACGGAAAGGAACGGATAATACACCGTAACATGATAACAGATCTTCGCAGCTTAAAAGACGCTGCGAATCTTAGTAGCGTTCATTGAAACGCTGTCGTCCCGACAGTTCTGTTCCTTCACCTGAAGAAGGCTACTTGTGTTGTGGCCGAAACGTCGTGAGAATTTTATTGTCTTATTTTGTTTTATTGTTTTATTCTCATTCTACGTGACTTTACCGAAAGAACCAAGAAGATGAATCCTTGCAGTCACGAAAGCTTTAAATCGAAAATGATAACAGATGTATGTTAATAGCTTGAAAAAAGTCAAAAGGTCTCCACTTGTTCTCCATCATTGTCAACACGTGCCTGGACTCTTCTACAGGCGGTCTCCAGAGCCCGGAGGCGCATTTCTCGTGGTATTGTTGCAAATTCTCAGAAGTCTTTAAAAACAATTCGAAGCACCCTCTTTGGTTATAGCCTACACATTGTATACCGGTTAAAACATCCGTAGCTATTTCAGGAAATGTGACTCAGGAGAACGGTGGGGTGGGAGGGGGGGGGCACAGTCGTGTCTTGCATGCCCCCGTTTAAATAGGTAGTTGTGCCCCTGGGTATGATCATGACAACACGGCTGCGCTGGATGAGGTGGCACGTGCGCAGGATGGAGGAGGGGCGGTAACGGAGACAGGCCTTGGAGTGACCTCCACGAGGACGGTGACCCAGGGGCAGACCCGAGAGCAAGGCAACTGTTGCAGGTCCAGTTGCCACTGCGAGGTAGCTACGGGATCTGGCAGAGGGTAGAAAGCGTTGTAAATGAGGTGTGGTGGCAGCAGCAAAGAATTTGGGCCGCGATGACTTCTTGATCGGGGATGGTTGGCTCGTTGGTTTGAGGTGGGGTAAGTACCGGGTAACTGGTTCACAAGTTTGCAAGGATCAGTGGGAGGAATAATTGTTTTACGTGTTTTTTTTTTTTATCATAACCATCATCATCATTGCACAGTTATTAAAGTATCATTGCACCGCTATTGAAGTACTGTATTGAAAGACCTTATGCCGCTTTTCCGCTTTCATCTTGAGAACCAAAAGTAACGCACGAGGGTGACGTCGACGCGGTCAAGGAACAAAGCCTTCCCGTGCACACGGCCGCGAAAAGTCGTCCACACACTGATGACAAAAAAACCCCGAAAACACAAAACTCGCAGTTACACTGCACTGTACAGTTCACAGATGGAAATAATTTAGACGCTTTTCAAACGCAACTCGTGTTGTACTGTAAAATCACACGAGATCAACAGAGACCTCGAAAGCTCAGCATGGGGTGTGCCTGGTTGTTGGTGCGGTTGTATGAGTGATCGCTCAAGGCTTGCCAGGGGATGCGACGTGGCCAGGAGATGGCACGGATGAGCGTGAGTTTTCTCCGGTTTCCTCCCACACTAAGCCATTCATGGTATTGCATTTCTTTTGGCCAAGCATCACAGTGTATCAGGACCCTCGGAAAGAGGTACTTGCCCGAATTGAGGATTTTCTGGAGTAAGATTAATCATCATAATCAGCCATGATCGATGCACCGATGAGATAAGGACTCCCCAAAACGTCGCACTACCCTGCAATCTAAACATCCACCGAGCACCCGCACAGAAGCTGATTTACGGTAATCTCTTCTTCTCCACGGTGGATGTGCTCTCGAACAAGGCGTTTCATTCCTTCGCTGCCATTGTCATTATGCTTGACCATCGGCCATAATCCCATCCAGCCACGACGTGTACACGATGGCGTTAACCTACGAATGCTCTCTATCCCACGTGTTCCTCTGGTTCTCAGTGCAGTGCCGGGGAGAGAGGGGAGTGGTGCTGGGGGGAGATATTGTTATCGCACGCGGGGTAAATGAAGATTAAACTCCTGCGAGTGTCCGCGTGGGGTCGCTCTCTCTATCTCACGCGCGCGCTGTCTCGCATCGCACCGCGGGAGCTGCGCCCTCTGAGCGAGCAACATCATCATCATCCTGTGACCCGCTGGATCAGGGCGGATCAATCCAAACTCCGCCGATATGGATCAGGGCTCACTCTTCGCTCCGCCCGCTCTGGGTGGGTGGGTGTTACGGGAGTGGAGGGCTCCGCGTCACAGGGAAGAGTCTTTTGATGAGAGACGAGACGGGGGAGTTGAGGGACACTCGAGAGGCGTCATGTTCCGCGAGCAGAGCGCGCTGCCTGCGCTCCCGAGCTGGAGAGAGACGAGTAGGGGACGACTCGATACGGGTGGACGGGAGCCCTGCACGCGGTCGATAGCTGTGGGCAGTGTCGGCTCCCAGACATCCAGGGGGGTTTGCAGTCTCGGGTACTGATGGGTAACACGCGCGGGTGGATTCAATCATCAATCAGTGGTGGTATGGTGCAATTTAAACGTAATTGGCGACGCGGTAATTGCAGCAATTGTAGGACCCCCCCCCCTGAATAGGAGTCTTACGACTCATTGAGGCATTTTTTGCGTAATCATCAGCTCATAATCATCCTTTGTTGAAGATGCATGAATTGAATTATTCATTTAATCGGCGCTTTCTTCAAATTGGTCTGGTGGGAGTCCAGCACGGGTGCATCACCACCACCACCACCACACGTTGTCAAAGCGTTCCATTTCATGAAGGAAATCCATCTGCACGCGTTATCGCCTGAGAATGGGAAAACTCAAGTCGGAGTTTATTTCCGGCGCAACTTGGAACCACGAACCGCCACTTATCGCAGAAGATGTCGGCATAGTTGTTTTAATCGGCTGCGCACCGCTCTAGCAATGTGAATTGGTCGACTGGTTGGTTTGCTAGTTAGTAGTTAGTCGAATTGGTGGTTGTATATTTTGTTGGTTAATTGGTTACTTGATTGGTTGCTTCATTGGTTGTTCAATTCGTTGTTTGGTGGTTAATTGGTTGTTTGATTGGTATATGGTTGGTTATTTGGTTGTTTAATTGGTTGTTTGGTGGTTAATTGGTTGTTAAATTGTTTGATTGGTTGTTTAATTGGTTGATTAATTGGTTGATTGGTGGTTAATTGGTATATGGTTGGTTAATTGTTTTTTTAATTGGTAGATTATTGGTTAATTGTTTGTTTAATTTGACTATTGTTTAATTGGTTGTTTAATTGGTTGATGTGTGATTAATTTGTTGGTTAATTGGTGGTTAATTGGTGGTTAATTGGTTGATTGGTGGTTAATTGGTTGTTTAATTGGTTGATTAATTGTTTTATTCGATGGTTGTTTAATTGGTTGATTCGTTGGTTGTTTAATTGGTAGATTGTTGGTTAATTGGTTGTTTAATTGGTTGATTGGTGGTTAATTTGTTGGTTAATTAGTGGTTATTTGGTGGTTAATTTGTGGTTAATTGGTTGTTTGTTGGTTAATTAATTGGTTGTTTGTTGGTTAATTTGTTGTTTAATTGGTGGTTAATTGGTTGTTTAATCGGTTTAATTGGTTGTTTGGTGTTTAATTGGTTGTTTAATTGTTTGATTGGTGGTTACTTGAGTGTTTAATTGTTTGATTCATTGTTTGATTCGTTGGTTGTTTAATTGGTTGATTCATTGTTTGATTCGTTGGTTGTTTAATTGGTTGTTTAAATTGCTAACTGGTTGGTTAGTTTAATGATTGGCTGGTTGGTGAAGTGGCTTTCTACTTTAGTTGGTCAATTAATTGGCTCATGGTCGACGGGAGTCGCCGATGAATTAATGTGCGGTGTAGTCCCCGGTGCTGTGCTGTGCCGTGCCCATAGCCTCGTGGTCACGTGTTCTGTGTGCAGACATCACCGTCGACGATGACCTGAGCCACATGCTGCTCGGCGCCTCGCTCTGCAAGATCAAGTCCAAGACGTGGAAGAAACAGCGGCTCTTCAAGCTGCAGGAGGACTTCCTCACCATCTGGTACGAGTCGAAGAAGAGCAACAAGAGCAAGGCAACTTGTGAGTAGCGCTAGCCCAGTGAGAGATGAGTGCCTCGTGTTGAGCATATTACGCAAGGGACTGGCTGCACTGTCGAATATACAGCCTGATGCACTTGTAGATCATCATCATCACCACCACCACCACCACCAGCGATGGGCCACTGCTGCCGCCACCTCTTACAATTCTGTGATTCACTCAGGACCTGGACACAAATTAATTTCATCGCTCCTTCTCCTTGGTGGGCGCCCTTTCGGATGCCTCCTCTGCTTGGCTGCCACTCCATTTGTTATTCTTTCAGATCATCCACCCATCATCCCTTCTGCAGATGTGTCCTGCCCAAGCCCATTTGCCTTTTCTAAACTGTGTGGATGATTTTATTAAATCTACATCTGTTATCTAATCCTTATGTTCCTGTTTCGGTCTGTCAATGTGATTTCCAGGTTTTGGATCTCTCCACGCTTATTTACACATTTCAGTTTTTGTTCCATATTTTTTGTGAATGACCGTGATTCTGAACCACACATTCTATCAAGTAGAACACACGTTTATAGACATCCCACTTAATAGGAAGGATTTTTTGAGAATTTTTTTCATTTCATCGCCTCTGCATCTCTCACCAATTTCAATATACTTTTTGCTTCCGTCACTTTTTCAATGCTAAATCACACTGTTGTTAAGAAAGAGAGTCACAACAGATCAGTGGGGTAGATCGCTATAATGTATGGCTCACCCTGTATATCTGAGCACGGAGTCAGCACCACTGAGGTCCTGGGTTGTAATCCAGGTTTCAGTAGCCCGTGATGAAACCGACTTCTAAATTGTTGAGTTGATGGTCTCAGCCTAGTCATCACTGACTATACACAAAAAGAAACCCATTATATGAATTTGATTCTACATTTTGGCATAATTCAGGAAATACAATAATGGGTTGATTTCCATGTGAAGGGGTTCTCTTATGCAGGGCATATGGGAAAATTGCAGTTCCCTTACTTGCAAGAATCTGAGAAGCAATTCTGTGATATCTGCTTTCTCAGGCCATTCTGTAACACATGTGGTGATTCAGTTCCACATGGACTCTTCACTTCATGACATGATGCTGAGAGCACACTTGGAATCACATTTTCAAAGTAGATAAAATACATCTCACAGGGCTTTGGCTGCCATTCGAACTGCTAGTACTTTTCATTGTAAATGGTCACAACCCCCAGTCACCTCCCATCCAGCAACACACGATGATTCGAATAATCTAACCGATAATCGGGAGAATATTATATTACTTCAATAATCGTAGAGGCCAGCTCCAGTAAAGATCCTCCCCACCGGTCGCACATAAAAACCGGGAGTGATATGTTAACTCCCTCGCTTAGTATGCATGAGGTCATGTCTCTCTCTCTCACTTCCCGTGCTCGTGTGGATTTTTCTCCGGGTCCTCCAGTTTTACCCTCCACAATTTAGAATAATGCATTTTATAGTATTTGGCTCCTATACATTTCCACGTGATAAGCCACTTGGTTGAGATATAATTTGTGGCCAGGTCTCTTCTAAAAAAGAGTTATATAGCTCAGTGGGCCTTGCTTGGGGGAAAAACAAACCTCCAGGAGACCTTGCGCAGGCCCGAATGAATAACCCTACATGGTTTGAGGTGCAGAACACGGCTCTGTCGCTGCATAATGCATGGAGTTTCGCTGGGGTAAGAGGAGCTCCCGTGCAATAGGGCAGGGCGAGGCCCCCGTCTGTCGCCGCGCAACCCCTTACCCCCCTAGGCCCCCAATAAATTTTGAGGTGCAGGGGGAAGTAAAGTTTTGGCACCGAGACTCGCTCGTTACAGACACTGGTGTGTGGTCCTGCGCACTTGTGTGTGCAATGTGCGCGCGTAACAGAGCAGGCTTCCCAAACTTCACACCTCAGACCCACCGTGCGGTTTCGCCTTTCCAAGCGTATCGTGTCTTCTCTGTTCAAAACAGATGTTAAATCAAGTCGGCACTCTTTATATCAATGAACGCAGCCCGAAAATATATAATAAGCAAAGAACAGTGATATTAAACAAATTATAGTAATTATGCAAGCAAAAGGTGATTTCTAGACAGTAAATGACACGATTGTGGTGAAAGGACCGGTCCTACCATCATGCCTGGCTTATCAGGTGCCATTGGCATACTGTGTATATAATGCAAACAGCCTTGCTTAAGGGCCAGCAACTGAATGATTTGGCCACAGTTTCTAATATAACATAGACATAATTTTGACTCTTGAGTTGGGGGTCCAAAACAGGGCTGTGTTTATTATATATTTTTTCCATGACACTGCAAAAATGTCCCTCTCCTATGCAATTTTTTTTGCACTCACTTGCAACAACTACATGCAGGTCTCATGGGCAGGATCCATCGTTTCACGTCAAACAATCTTCAATATTGGCTTTTAAATGCCTGACTTGCATGATTATGTTAAGTGCATGCACTATGGTGGGGTCGTGACCTGCCCAAGAGCTCGAAAGCTTAATTTCCTTGGTTTCGATCCCAGGCTTTGATCAGACATTAGTAGCAAATGGTATTTTAACCTGTCTTGTGCCTCCACTAGGTTTACTCGGCCTTAAATTTCGACATGACACGCTGTGTAAGGATTAGAACAAGGGAGGTAAAATTAATGTGGTTCTGGCCATGCAAACTCTCTTATTTCCAAGCTGACCTTAACCCTTTCCCATTCTGAAAATCTTCCGTTTCAGAATCGGGTGAAAAACTAAAATAAAATAACTTTATCAGTACCGAGAATCCCACAAGGCCATGTGAGAGGGTGTGTGGCACAGTTTGCAACCAGCTACCATAGAATGTGATTGTGTCGCTTCAGTTCTCTTTCGTGAGTACAATGTCTTAAAAACAGTGGCGCTGTGCCTCTCTAAGTAATATTAACGCGAACCGCTTGCACGTTTCAAGATTCAGTGGTGAATGGGACCCACCCTGCAGCTTGCAGACGTCTCGGGAACGGGAAAAGGGTAATAGGTGCTCATTAGTAGCACTTACCCCTGTAAGACTAAAAGGAAGATCATTTGTCTTTGGAAGTACAATATATATTCTTGGTTCTTTCGGTAAAGTCACGTAGATAAAAAAAGAAAATACAAATATTAAAATAAATTTTAAAATAATAAATTGAAAATAATGAAAAGCAACAAATCCATGCCGTTTCGATCGCAACACAAGCGGTTTTCATCTCTCCGCCTGATGAAGGTCCCTTGTGTTGCGATCGAAACGTCGTGCGTTTTTTTTATTTTTATTATTTTCAATTAATTCTTTTTAATTTAGATTAAAAAAATTTCATTTTTTTTTTCTATCTACGTGACTTTACCGAAAGAACCAAGAATATGAATTCCCGCAGTCACGAACGTTTTAAGTCAAAAGCATATCGAGTATTCCGCTGGCAATGGTGGATGATGGGTCACATTTATATTGAGGCTTTGCCAGTGCCATGGCAGCTCGAGGCTGGGGGGGGGGGGTTGGGGTGAGGTGGGAGGAAGGGGGAGAGACTTGAAGCGGCGGATTATTACTGGACATGGGCGGAATTATTTGTGCCCCTTTTTGCTTCATTTTTAATCGCCGATGACATGCCGAAGTAACCATCTTATTGGGGAAGTGAGACTGAGCACTCCATATTCCGTTTCTGTTTGAATCAATTCCCTTCAAATTAAGTGTTAAAATACCATCACACCATATGCAAACCTCCGATTAACACGGTTGTCTACGTACGGTGCGAAATAAGTTCAACATACATACATTTCCACTCTTTTTACATTAAAAAAATATATATGTGTATTGAAAATATATATTTAAGCAATTTCTTTAGATGGGGTGCTGCCCCAAAGTCCCATATAGACCGGCCGCTACGGTAAGGTAGTTTACTAATTTGTAGTGGCTTGGTCAGTCAAAGCAGTCCGCTCACTCAAGCACTCCAACTACTCAAGCATAGTGGATATGTCACCCGTGGCTAAAGCGTTGCCGCTCTCTGGCAATCCAGGTCTCTGTGTAGCAAAGCACTTGATGGGATTGGTCTCACGGGTTAATATTTAATCTGGGATCATGGGGTTGGCAGCACAAACACAAGGGCAATGGGTTGACCGTGGCCAAAACATTAAGTGCCTTGCCCTTTAACGAGCAGTGACCGGGCATTCAAGCGTCGCATTTCTTGAACTCATCACTCCAATTCCACGGGGTGCGTCCTCTCAAGCATTATCCCTCCTTTGGCTGTTACACTGGCGTGAGACTCGACCACCGGCCATCATTTCTTTAGAAGTGCTTTTTGTCTTTAGTTTGTTGTCCTTCCCCCCACACCTCCGATTAGCACGGTTGGCTACGTATGGTGCGAAATAAGTTCAACACACGTACATCATTCGTTCTGGTACTGCATCCGGCCCAACGCCTTTCATTAGGCTCCTAGCCCTTCCCTAACCTCTGTCAATAATACATAGCTCGTAATTGTGGTTTATAGCAGCATGGGTTTGTAGGAATGCACACACTCTCTATACAGTAGCCTACAGTGCCAGAGCACGGTCCACCTCTCCACATTTATCAATCTCCTATCACATTCACCAATATTTCCACATACGTACAAACATTGCACGCTGCACGTGCCTAATGATTGCTTAAGACATTTATTGTGATATAGTTGGTGCTCTGTGTATTGGAGCCCTCTATGTCAGGTAGGGGACACACGTGCACACATGCACACGCGATTATTGTGCTGATATTTATTGGGACTCCATATGTTTCATGGGACGCAGGGAACATATTTTTTTGGCAAGCCCTTGTCCTCACTGGGCCCTCGGTCTCTGCCCAGTAGCCTGTCAGTCCATGCCAGGCCCAAGCCAAATTAATTTTCTTTACAGTAAATATGTCTCTAACTAAGATATAATCTGGAATCCACATATTCCTTTTAGTATCTCTCAATGAACTGTAATTAATCTTTACATGCAGTTCAGTGCACTCTTCAGTTTTTGTTCCATTTTGATCATCATCGCCCGCGTTTCTGACCTACGTCAGTGTCTTGCTGATGGTCTGGGCTGCGGCGGTGTCTTTTCTGTCGGTTTGAAGAAGAAGATGATGATGATGATGATGATACACTGAACCAATGCATACAACTCAAACTATAGCCCTGTAATACGAGGCATTATTATGTAATAGGGATGATTATCAATATTATTATTATTCAACACACAGTAGTGTGCGTACCCAAGACAAGCATGTTCCACTCATGGATGGTGTTTGGCATCCTGCCCATGCACGAAACAGCTGATACATATTCATCTGGCCAAGATGACATTAGCTGTGTGCACAAACTGGAAGTGCAGTAATAATGAAATGTGTACCCGTGCTGAGTGAGCGAAAAACTTGTGCTGTAATCGCACTATACACCTCTACACACAAACAGTATAGTATCATCATCATCATCATGTATCAGTCATCATCATGATAATGACTGCCGGATGAAGTGTGTGGTATAGTGTAGTGTACCATTCATTGTGTGATGTTCTGGCTTTACACACAGTATAGTTGCAGCATACTGGTGGGTGATGTACTGGCTTTACGTGGTGCCTGGGCTTTACATCCCAGATCGATAGCTAATGGGGGTTGCACTCTTGGTACAGCACCTGAGTGAGTGACAACGATTTTAAATCAAGGGGGTATTTTTAAAAATCGCTGGATACTGGTAATTGTCCATCGCTGTGCATTTATGGGAGTATATATGTACATTATAGAGTACATGCAACAATGTGTGAACAATATTGTACATGTACAGCACGGGTTGGTGGAGGCGATGAAAGACAAACGTGGGAGCATAGAAGTAGAGTACAACGATGTATGTTGCTGCACCGCCCTCTCTATTATCCACCTCGTCGTGGTGTAGCTCTATGACAACCTGTTTTTGCATGGTGGTCACCCATTCAAGCACTATCCAATACCGAGGCTCAAAATAATGATGAGCTTCTAAGATCGTAACGAGATCGTTTGTATTCCGGATGATTTTCTCATGGGCAACAAGGGATTATACGTAGCAGAATTAAAGTACCGTACAGTTTGAAAAGAGAACCAGATGTCTGCATTGTTTGTAAGGGAATTGACAACTGCACTTTTTTGGTGTGGTCGTATTTGCCTTGTTATTGTTCACAAAGGAAGCTAGAACTGTGGCTGGATAAACAATTGCGAATACATTGTCGCAGTATCCTTGATAATGAGGTTCAGCAGCACTTTAAGATTTGTTCTTGAAACAAGGAGCACTCATCATCATTTTCATCCATCCTTCCATCATCTTCATTCATCATCAATCTTAACATCATCACCATCATCATTATCCACCGATAATGCATCACTCATCATCGTTATCCAGACTGCCACCATCACCACCACCAGGCAGAGGGTAGAGTGGCACCATGAAGGAGATGTATACTGCATCCTTTCCGGTTCTATTGGAAGTGAAGCTTTCTTAACCTAACATGCTGTTTCTTGCTTTGGATCAATTGTTGATTTTGCCTTGTCGTAGGGTTTTCATTTGCTTGGTAGTGGCTGTATATGGGAATTGGTCCTTATCTATGAATAATGTACAGGGTTAGGGGATGCTATGAGCATGAATGACGCTATATAAAATGAAAGTAGTATTGTTATGGTACAGGACCACTGCACCATCTCTATTTCACATCCTAAAAACCCTTACAATCCCATCGTCCTCCCTCCCCCACCACGTCCGCTGTCCGTACCGCCCCGCCTGTCGCACGCTTCCGCGCAGTCTCCGTAGTGGAGATCGAGGCGGTGCGCGAGGGCCACCAGTCCGAGGTGCTGCAGAGCTCCGCGGGAGAGTTCCCTCCAGAGCGATGTTTCACCATCGTGTTCCGCGGACGGCGCGGCAACCTGGACCTGGTGGCGGAGAGCGAGGAGGAGGCGCAGCGATGGGTGCGCGGCATTGCCAAGCTCATCCGCAGCGCCGAGAACATGGGCTCCCAGGAGCGGCTCGATGCATATCCACGGTGGGGCGGTGTCATGCTTAAGCAAACCAAGGAAAAGGATTATGGGTCAAGAGGGGTGAGCTTAGGGGGGGGGCATCGTATTCATGAAAGAAATAGGGGACACATCACATACCAACGCGGATTCAAATCATAATACACGGAACGAGTCCATGAACACAACGGCCAATACATCTCTCTCATCGCTCACTCCTGTGCTTCTCTTCTCTCATCTCACTACATCCTTGTCATCTTCATCTCTCTTACCTCACTACGTGTCTATCTCTTGTCTAATAACTATTCTGTCGGCTCATGATTGAATACATTGAAAGCATGAACTCCCCATTTTTTATTTCTGCTTATTAGCCCCCTGTGGGCTAGCACCACCACTGCATATCCAGCTGCTCTCTGCTCGTGCTCTTGATCCAGATTGGTGACCACTGTGTGAGTGGTCACCAACGTCCCAAACGAGCCTCCTTCGCAGCACTACTTTGCCTCTTTACATAGCAAGCATGACTTGACGCGATCGGCCCAAACACCTATTTGCCAGGATGTATGACTTTGAAGTACAGTACAACACTTCTGTTCCTGATCTTTGTTCGTATGTTGTTCAATTCAATGTGGTGATCCTAGCTACTGTCACCAGCTTCCACCCACCCGACACTCTACCGGTGCTGTAGTAAGAGTGCCGCGTGACTTCACCCGTGTCAACATTTATCAACATTCACCCAGAACTCTCAACATCCACCGAGGACTACCGACATCAACGTTCACTTAGTGCCACCAACGTAAACATTTGGCTCCCACTCAACGCTGCCACCATTTACAACCACCAAACTGCTACTACCAGCGTTCACGCTCAGTGTTTTGAATTCCTTTTAACCATTTGAGCAACTGTAGGGAAAAAAAAACTCCCTGAATATAATGCACGCTTGGAAGTTTGTGTTACAGCTGGTAAGTATTATATTGAAGCTGTGTGTGGTGGGCAACAGTGGGCAGTCCAGAAAACACATTACATAGCACTACACTTTCCATGCTCTACACCTTCACCGACCCGCCCCGACCACCTTGAAGTGTGGCCAAATAACCGACCACGACAATTATGGCATGGAGAGGCCCTCATCCAACAGTGGAGTGACAGTCGGGCTGTACATGTACATTGGCTGTGGTGCATGTCTATTAACTGCTTCGCAATAAAGTGGAGTTGGTATTAGAAGCTTTCAGTCGATTGCTCAAGTCTCACTTATGACAACACTTTGGCGATATAGTTTACAGTGGGAATTGCATAGCTGTATGGGGTGCGCTCTTTCTATTTGGTTTGCAGTGGATCGATTGCAGGGCGGTTCAGGAACTTTTATGGGTGGCGGAAGTAACAAAAAAAATAATCCATAGAATTTTCGAAAGCTGGACCCCAATGTTATTTTTTTTAAGTTCCGCTTTCAATGGGCTTTCCGTGAATTGAGGCTCGCATGTGTAAGCGGCGTGTGTGGTTGTGAAGGGTTCATGGGGCCTGCCCCAAGGTGTTTTCCTGTGTTTTTCCGTGCGCGGGTAAACTATACCGTTGGACAAAAGCCACGCTGACTGGTTAGGCGGGTCTGAATTATAGCACTAAACTTGGCAGTGTTACCCAGCAAACAATGGATCTTGCCTCTACACAAAGACACACCCTCGAGAGAAATCCAATTCCACAAGGGACTTAACACTCGTACAAAGGACACAACGGTTAAGCCCTTGTGCAGTGTTCTTTTTTTAACAAACGCAGTAGCAGAGGTGTGTTATCTGTCTCCGGTGACTGCGCTATTTCGGAGCAGTAGTCTATTGCAGTGGGAGCGAAAGTTATTTTCTCAAATGACTTATTTTTTTTAAAGGACGGAATTTTGACTTAAAGCTTTCGTGACTGCAGGAATTCATGTTCTTTGGGTCTTTCGGTAAAGTCACGTAGATAGGTTCAAATTTATAAAAAAATAAGCAAAAACCACGACGTTTCGATCACAACACAAGCGATCGTCGTCAGGAGGATCATCATGAGGATGATGATCGCTTGTGTTGTGATCGAAACGTCGTGGTTTTTGTTTATTTTATTTTTAATCATTTGAACCTATCTACGTGACTTTACCGAAAGAGCCAAGGAATAGGACGGAATTTCCTTGACTTTTCTACCGCACGTGGATTTATGATTGCTTCAAGAAGGCAGACAAAAACAAGGACGGGCGGATGACCTTCAAGGAGGTGAAGAACCTGCTGAAGATGATGAACATTGACATGAACGAACACCACGCCCAGCACCTGTTCGAGGTAGGTCCTGCCCTACCAACAACACCATCTCAATGACACTATCACAACAATAAAACTACCTAAACTCATCACACTTCCTAGCATATGATACTGCCTATGCCACATTGATGTTAATGAATTATACACCCGTGCTGAATGCACTTGCCAGGAAATGATATACGTGCACAGCCCGTTGTCAATCCGTTGCTGAATGAAGGCCTTTCCACGCCGCCATGCCGTTCATGCGGATTGTCAAGCTGATCAACGTGGGTTGGTGACGAGGGGTGGGGGGGTGTCCAAGATCGGTTTGGATATAACTCGCCACTTATGTTAACCATGGCCAGGAATTGAACTAAAATATCTGGGTTCATACTGCCATGCACTAACCACTGCACCCCCCCCCCCCGAGAGTAATGATACCGCCATGCTCGTGACCACCGTAGCAATGACGCTGCCATGTCAACAATATTCCTATTCTAATGATGCAACCATAACAATTAACCATTTCCAGACTCTAACATCACACACTTAACTTCATTGACAACACATTGATTGATAGACTAGACAAAGCAACACAATGCATTAATGCTGACCACTAACCGCCATCAACTCGCATTGTCAACAAGATGATTATTGATGGTTGGTGACTGAAGATTGGTGGTTGATGATTTATTGTTTCTGATTATTATTGTTGATATCGATGACTAATTATAGATGATATATGGTGAATAATAAATTATTATTGATGGTTAATGCATAATAGTTATTGATATCTGACGATTGTTGATTGATGGGTGAAGAACGATAATGGTTTATGATTGATTATAATCAATCGTAATTATTGGTAATTTATAGTTTATGATTGAGGCTCAACTCGTTTAGAGTCTCTCCCCACTGTGTGCCTCGCGCTCCAGATGGCCGACATGTCGCGCTCGGGCACGCTGGAGGGCATCGAGTTTGTGGTCTTCTACAAGTTGCTGACACAGCGCGATGAGCTGCAGGCGCTCTTCTCGTCCCTGTCGGGCGACGGCAGCGTGCTGAGCCGGGGCGAGCTCGCTGCGTTCCTGCGCGACTTCCAGCGGGAGGAGGGGTGCGAGGAGCTCCGCTTCGCCGAGGAGCTCGCCTCCTCCATCACGGAGAGACACGAACTCTCCAACATCGGTGCCCGCTCGCGATTGCGGGCTATCGTCTTTCCCGTTTTGTGTGCCTGCGTGCCGTCTGCTGCGCGCGCTATCGATGTCGTGTCGGCTGCCTGGATTCAAACCCAGGATCTCGGTGGTGCGAGCTCCGTGCTTTGCCGTCTGAGCCACCCAACCACCTCCGTAGATGGGAACTCTTAACTGTGAGGTCATCCTTCCTCTGCCTTGTGTGATTTCTGTCCTTTCAGTTTGTTTAAGAGCGGGGTTTTCCAAAACTCTTGTTCCTTGTCACCCACGATGGCTGCCGGTGGCATAGCATGGTTGACATGATCCCTGGTGCAAGGATGAAATGGGGCTCCCTGTCCGCCTTCCCCACTCTTTGTAGCCTGGCAACTGGATCCCTCCAGCACTATCTGCACACTCAGTAGCAATGCCACTGGCAGGCCCATTTCACCTCCCTTGAAACCCGCATTCAATTGTAACACGCTGCATAGGCCTGATGATTGCTAAAGATGTCCCATGTGATCTCGCGCAAGTGCTGATTAAAATTAATCAGCCATACAGCATCGTGATTCGAATAAATCGGCACTGTCTATGTCGCGTCGAACTTGTGCCAAACATCAGGCACATGCAGTGTGCAATGGCTACATTTGTATTTGAATGGAGTAAATTGTGCTGTCGGAAGATCAGCTCCATGGAAGATGGTGTTTGTTCTTCGTCGTGTGATCTCGTGCAGCGAGGAGCCTGAGCGTGATGACGCTGGACGGCTTTGTGCGCTACCTGACCTCCCCGGATGGGTCCCTGTGGGACCAGCGCCACGACTCCATCGGCCACGACATGACGCGGCCGCTCAGCCACTACTTCATCTCGTCGTCGCACAACACCTACCTCATGGAGGACCAGCTCCGTGGCCCCAGCAGCACCGAAGCCTACATCAGGTCTGCTCGCTCAGCCTAAGCCAGGGGCCTACGGAACTCGACAGCGATGTTGCTCCATTCAACGTCCTTTGTGTGAACAGGAGGGGGCCTATTCTTTGCACTGTTGCACTATTCAGGGTACATTTTGGCTTAGGTTCTAAGATTTTATGAGCTTAGGTGCATTCCCGGGTGATTTGGTCATCGGCATTGTTAGACAAGACGGAGCTAAAGGGAAGACCATGCAGACAAGTGACTGAGACATCTGCATCTGTCCATGTCTGTCGGAGCAGTGGTGCAGCATGCAGTGACCTGCGCTATGAACCTGGCGACCCGAGTTCGATTTCTGCTCACGGCTAGTATCGGTAACAAATATCTGAACTGGTTCTGGGCCTCTCGAAGGTCGACCCAGCCTTAAATGTCGGCACTGGGGAGACAGAGGTCGTGGGCCGTGGTGCTGGCCACACCACCACCTCCTTGTGCGCCATTGCCGGCCTTCATAGGCGCTTGCTAACATCACTTGCCCTAGCCGTCTACGTGCCTACAGGGGGGAATCTTTGTCTGTGGTGTGTGCGCCTGTTCCAGGGCCTTCCGCAAGGGCTGCCGCTGTGTGGAGCTCGACTGCTGGGACGGTCAAAACGGCGAGCCGGTCATTTACCACGGCCACACGCTCACCTCCAAAATCCTGTTCAGCGACGTCATCCGCACCATTGAAAAATACGCCTTCCAGGTGCCAGAGCGGAGTTCGCTTTGTTCTGCAGAATGAGTTTGGTGCTTGAGCCATTGGGCGCAAAAATGGCTTATTGTTACCACCGAGGCTGGCGAATGCTAACAATTATTTTCTTGAAGCATTTTATATCTAGATATTTATAGCAAGGTCACTGTAGTAGCAAACTATGGGCAAAATGTTATGACGCGGGTTGCATTGTATATTTGAAAGAGGATACAATTTTGGGAAGAAAATAACCGACGTAATATGAAACCTCCACCAAGTAGGAAAATAAAGATGAAGTGTGTGTATTAAACAGCCAGTATATACGCTCAGATTTCAGTCTATGATGACTACTGCCTATGGTGTATACAAGCAATATTTTACACCCCAAATTGTACCGACCAACCCCATCGACTCATAGGCAAGTTGTTTCGAGTGGAGATGTCCCATTTGATGAAAGAAAATTAATCTGCAAACGCAAGGACTGTTGGGGCAAGTGCTACTATGAGTGAGACATTTAAAGGGGCGTGGTCATTGAGACATTGTGATATATGAGATAATCATGGTCAGTCGAAAAAAAACTGGAAAAACCAGAATTTGACACAGTTCTTCATTCACAAACATCTTTGTACACGTGTGTGTACATTTTCTCGTGCCTGTGCACAGTACTACCTTCTTGTGCACGTGTGTGTGCGCATGTGTGTATGTATGTGGGCTGGGTCATGTAGCCCGCATGCCCAGCCACCGCATTCCGAAACAGCTTTTGTTCGGCCGGATCGAGGGGGCTAAACAGGCGCAGCACGGGCTAGAGAAGAGATGGAGTGATGTGGTACAGGAGGACGTGGAGCTGAGTGGACTTGCCGATGACTGGTACCAGCGGTGTCAAGATCGGCCTCTGTGGAGGAGGCTCGTGAAGGACGCTACTGGGCAGTTTGAGGCAGTCGCCCTCCAACAACAATGGAGGGCGGAGGAGCGACGCTCACAACAACGAGCGGAGTGCCGGGTGGCTAAAGCACAGCAGGTTGGCACAGTAGGGGGCACAGGTGGTGCATCAGCCAGTCATCTCAGTCAGTCGACCCGTGGCACCTGGGTCTGCCCCGTGACCGCCTGCCAGCGGGTGTTCGACACTTCACGTGGCCTCAAGGTGCACATGGCCTGGCACAAGCGTCGTGGTGACGTCACCGCCACTTAGTGGCGAATGGTGGTTGTTGTATGTATGTGAGCCATAGTGAACCTGGCGACTTCCGTTTGATTATTGCTCACGGCCAACATCGGTGAAAAATATCTGAACTGGTCCTGGGCCTCCACTAGCTCGACTCAGCCTTAAATGAGTACCTGGTGCAGTGTGTGTAAACCTCAGCTCTGTCGGAGACTGAGACGGCCGAGCGTGGTGCTAGCCAACCACCCCCTCTTGTGCCGTGTCGACCTTACTACAGTTCTCGCTAACAGCACTTTCCCCAACAGTCTGTCCAAGGCGAAATGGGGGGGACTTTCGCGTTAGTCTTCCTGTGCTTGTGAATGAACGCGTGTGTTCTGTGCACGCGTGCGTCTGTGTGTCTGCGCGTCTCTTAACAGGTGTCGGATTATCCGGTGATCCTCTCCATAGAGAACCACTGCAGCGTGGCCCAGCAGGCGGTGTTGGCTCGGCACATGCAGTCGATCCTCGGGGACAAGCTGCTCACCGCCCCACTCGCTGGACTACCCAGCTCGCAGCTGCCCTCCCCAGAGGTAGCGCAACCAGGCCCTACTGGTGGCACGAGGGCAGTTCCACAATGTGGGACGTGCAGGTTAGACTCTGTAAGACTCAGTCTCAGTCCTACAGAGTCTAGACCAGTCCTCGGCCTTGGGACTAGCCCGAGGACATTTTCTCAGGCCTCATCCTTCACATTGGCCTTAGTCCGATGACTTGGCGTAGGCGAGTGGTTCTAAACCTATTTGGTATGGTGATTCCCCAATCAATACCACTGGACCCACAGGCTAGAGTATGGGCAAACACAGACACAACACATGCGAAGATTCGCCATGTACTCTTTGGGTCTTTCGGTAAAGTCACGTAGATAGAAAAATTATAAAATAATACAAAATCACGACGTTTCGATCACAACACAAGCAATCGTCTTCAAGTGAAAAATACCGCAGGCGGACTGCTGAGGCAGGAAGAAATGTAACGAGAGAGCTACTGCAGCCAAAGGTTATATAGGTGTGAGATGGGTACAACCCAAGGGTAAGTGGGCGGGGCTAGAGATGGAATTTGCAAGTCAATGTAAGATCACAGAGCTAGGTATACCTCGGCTAATCATGTCTGCATTAACCACAATACTTGTGGTCAGAATGCAAACAAAAATAAAGGCGATCGGTATTACCTTGGTGTCGCAGCATCTCTTCAGAGAAGTGAGCGACTCGATCAAAACCTATGACAGTGGGAGGCCTTTTTCTATCGACGTGACTTTACCGAAAGACCCAAAGAGTATGAATTCCTGCAGTCACGAAAGCTTTAAATCAAGATTCGCCATGTAGCTTTAATAAACTGTTGGGGCAAGTTGCTGTTGGGGAGCAGCAATAAAGACCGAATGAGGCATGAGGGCGTGGTGTGGCCACGACTATGCCTGACCGCCTTTGTCTCCCCAATGCTGGTGTTTATACATGGTGTTCTAGGTACTCATTTAAGGCTGAGCCGACGTAAGGGAGGCCGAGGACAAAATATTTGTCACTGATGTTGGCCGGGACGGGGAATCGAACCCAGGTCTCTACGTTTGTCGTCCAGTGTGCTAACCAGGACTGCCATGCACAGACGTGTGTATGCACACCGAATCCAGAACATGACCCCCACATTACCTCGCCCTCCCCATTGTGCTTAAAAATGTATTTATTTATTTATTTGAATCCTCTTAAGTAACCAGTTTCAATCGCGGGATGAGCCAGTGCAGGGATTACCCAGGGGGCATCACGGTGTTCACAAGCAATGAGGCACTCGGTGGATTAGAGATTTCATTTTCCAAGGGCTTTATGGAGGTCATTTGGTAATCCGCTGTCAGGGCTGTGTTGCAGGGCCATGGTGCTCACAGCTCTCGGTACAGTATTTGTTCACGCAAAAGGATGTCCCACATTCATACAGGCAAGGGGGGGGGGGAATATGCCGAATCGTGTGAGCGAGGGACGGTGGTGGACTGGTTAGCGTAACTGCATTCTGAGCCGAGAAATCCGAGCTCAATGTGCGAGCGAAGGCCCGCCCGCATCAGTGGCAATATCTGTACTGATATCGCCACTGACCAGCATGGTCAAGTATGGTGGTAAAAAAACCATGATGACAGTGGGAGGCCTTCATCCAGTAGAGCATTGGTCAAAGGCTGTGCAGTACATTATTACGATATTATTTGTCGTCTGTGTGCAATGTACACTTTTTCTTGTCAATTAACTGTTGGAATAGGGCCTCATGGGGTTACTTGGCCATTCCTCACCATGCTGGTCCATACGCGCTGGTCAAGATTGGGAGCATACACTCAGGTTCATAGACGGTACAGTGCAGTACGTAGAGTATTGTGATGAAACAGATTTAGTGTGCTGCCCTCTGCTGCCAACCAGATAGCCACGTACTAGCCTATAACAACCATAAATGCACGTGGCTCACCCATTCAAAACAATCCAGGCTGAAAACTGCTTAGCTATCAATATCTGATGAGATCGGGCGCATTCCGGTGGAAATTCGGCCATAGTCAACTCCATCTTTTGATATGCGTGTAGTCAAATAATAATAATAATTATTATGCCGGTCAAAGCCTTCTGCGCCATGTGCCGTAATCAACCGAATCGGTTTTGCTCGCTTTAGCAGCCGCTTGCCTCCTGCCGGCCTCCAGTTTACGTGGCTAAACGGCGCTTGCGGGGGTGGGGGCGTTCGGGGTTGGTCACGCGTGCGAGCAGCAGCTGCGGGGGAAGGTGCTGGTGAAGGGAAAGAGGCTGCCGGGCCCGTGGCCACGCGAGGCGGTGCCCGTCGCCAACGGGCACGACGAGAGCGGCGAGGTCAGCGACGAGGACGAGGCGGCCGAGATGGAGGACGAGAGCGTGCGCAACTGTGTGCGGCAGCGCGGCAAGGTGAGCCCCCGCGGGGGGGGGGGGGGGGGGGGGGGGGGGGAGGGGGAGGGGGGGGGGTTGAACCTCGGTAACGTTTTTTATTTTTTTTTGTCAGGGAATATATTTATTTGTACTGGAGGAATCCGATGAGCTATGAAGCTCTTTTTCACATATGTCCGGTCGGGGCGAATGTTGTTAGAACGTTACAACAAATTATACAAAATAAACACGATCGGCGTGCAAAGTATATGAAAGGTAAACACATCACTTACACAATTTGTTTTTTATCGTACCGGGCAAACTCCACTAAGGTATTAACTTGTTTTTGCGAAGCGGCCTGGCCACAAATGATCACTCAACGAAGTTGCTGCTCACGTGGACATTTATAGCAGCAAAATAACCTAAATCATTTCATCTTTCTGGAATGCGCTGGAGCTATGTACTTTTAAAATCTTGTTTGGAAAGTAATTTCTTTTAGAACTGCTTTTGTGTGTTTAGTTTCTTCCCCCCCCCCCCACACACTTCCAATTAGCATGGTTGGCTAGGTATGGTGCGAAAGAAGTCCAGACGTACATACTTACATAGTTACGTACATACGTTATCGACGGTAATCACTGGTCGTTGGTTGTCCTTGTAAAAGAGTTGCTGAGCTAAGTGGACCCTTACCTGCCGAAATATAGTTTCTTGAATCTGAACATGTGAAATATTAGTTCAGTCTTAGTCTGTGGATTTCATTTAGAGAATTCTGTTAGTCCTTGTTTACTAAAGTAGCAACATGTTTAGTCGATTATTAGTTATTGTATGTTGGTTGAGTCAGTCTTAGTCATTGGCCAAAAGTGTTATCAACAAATTTTGATTTAAAGCTTTCGTGACTGCAGGGATTCATCTTCTGGGTTCTTTCGGTAAAGTCATGTAGAATGGGAATAAATAATGAAAATAATAATAACAGAATAAAATTCTCACGACGTTTCGGCCACAACACAAGTAGCCTTCCTCAGGTGAAGAAACAGGACTGTCCGGAAGACATTTAGTGCACAGATTTTTTAAAAAGTGGAGTGCAACCTTGAGTTAATGTATTATTTCATTTATTAGTTGTGCAGAATGTGTGTGACGTGGCGTGGTGTACTTTATAACTGCTTACCTTAATCAATGTACATCCCTTGAGCATCCTACTGTTAAATGTTATCCAAATGTTATAATAGAGTGTTTAATTTAAGAAATGTTTGAAGCTAAACACTGTTAATCGATGCGCATATATCGATTAACCCCAACTCGACACCAGTAATTGCATGCATTGTCACGATCTGAATCACAGATTGATCTCGTTTTTGCCATCTCATTGGTTTTGTTTGTCTTTGTTTCTGTTATATCATACGATTGCGTTAATTGCATTAGCTTCAATGCAACGTTAGAGTATACTTTTTTTATTCAAATTGCGAAAAATTGTATAGAGCAAGAATCGATCATTTCCATTTCGCATACGTTGCATGTCAACAGGTCACATGAACCCTGCAGCCACTAGAGATGTTACATTCACCATAATAGGGATAAAAAGATGCTTGTATCTACGTAGCCAACGACACCAATCGGCCAATTGAATTGATGCTCTGAGTTATGACAAAACATAGAGTTAGCCTCTAATCATTTGGGGTAAATGATTACAGGCTAACCACTCAACCGTTTGAGAATCCTCCTGTGAAGGTCTCACGGGATTTGATAATTTGGCGGTTTGGAATCCTTGAACTTGATGATTCTCAAGATACACCTGGGCGTTTGTTCATAAATCGTAAAGCAGAGGTGGTAGGGCTTTGGAAAATTCACAGGCTTAATATCCAGTGCAGTGAGTGTAAAATCATTGAATTTAACTTCACCTGCACCACCTCGTGTAAATCGGCTGGGAACGGCACCACCTCGAAGGATTTATGCCGACCTATTTCCCAGCCCAATCGTGCCTGGCGAGAGAATTTGTCGAGGGCGTTTGCATGTTAATCTAGTGGCAGCTCAAGATGCCGGCGGGATTTATTGTCTCTTCTTGGTTTGCAATCGCACAGTACCCTACAAACACAGCGTGCTTGCATAACGTCCAGTCGAGTAAAAAAGCGACAAAAATAGCAGGTTAGCTACATTGCTCGTGTGATGCACAATGGCTAATGATGTCAACTGCAACAAATAATTATCATTTCCAAAAGCGATGGATTATAGGCGTGTATTATCATCTATGCCTATAATCGATGTGTGTGTGTGTGCCTGTCATGTGTTCATGGTGTATGTGGGGAGCAATGGTGCAGCGATTTGTGCATTGTATTACAATTCCATATGCCTGGGTCCATTTCCTGGCCACAGCTACCATCAATATAAAGTGCTTATTAGAATTTGTCCAGGGCCACCCATAGGTTGTCTAGAGCATAAAATGAGTACCTGGTCCGATGTATGAACATCAACACTGGAAAGTCAAAGGTGGCCGGGCATGCTGCTGGCAAAACCACTCCCTCTTGTGCCATGCCAGCCTTAGTAGAGGCTCGCTTACAGCTCTTGCCCTTCAGGACTTTTAGGACAAAGGTGAACTCCGTTGGTCCATGCTGCCCCAAGAGCATTTTTCTTTTCTCTGTGTGTTTGTGTATATACTAATGATTCTAAATTATGCTCCGAGTTCACGTGTAAGTGAATGTTCCTTTTAGCATTTATCATAAAAAGTTTTGATTATTTCATTTTCAAAAATGTGCTAATGTGTCCATCGCCAACAATGTGGCAGATTAGCAAAGGCAATGCGTCTCTTGGGTCTTTCATCGAGAAGTGAAACTGACCCCAACTCTTCCTCTCTTCCCCTCTTCCTCTTGTTGGCGACTCCTTCTCCTCCCACGTCGCGCATCGCCCCATCCCCACCCTGCTGGACCCATCGTCGCCGTCGCCGCAGAAGTGCAAGCAGAACCTGTCCATGGAGCTGTCCAACTGTGTGGTGTACTGCCGAAGCGTGCAGTTCCCAGGGTTCTCCCGCCCGCGTGATCAGGCCAGTGCCTGGGACATATCCTCCTTCACGGAAACCAAGGCTCGCAAGCTGCTCCGCGAGGACGGTGTGTGAAGCTGGGCAGCGGCACCGGAGCACTCCGGAGTCACGCGCGCGGACACCCAGAGACGCGTGCAGTGGGGACGCGTGCAGTCGGGGACTAGTGCGGAAGTGACGTGTTCTATGGATATTCCCTCGAGGAATATATTAAAGGGGGGATATGTGCATCCAAAAACGTTATTGACAAGTAGTGTGGTAAAATAAAACCCACTTGGGAGGTCTTCATCCAGCAGTCAATTGGCAAATGGCTAACCATGCACTCATATGTACGTGTGTGTGTGTATGTGTCTATTTCATTTAGCAGGGAAATGGTCTTTGCACACAATGGCTAGAGTGTTAAAGTAAAATGAGAGTTGTGCTTGTCAGGAAGTGAGAGTTGAGCTTGTTAGAAAAGTGAGGGTGAGGTGGAGGTGGAGGAGGCAGCTCGTGGAAAGCCAGTGGCTATTAAGCTATTGCACTCAGTTGAGTGACCAGGTCAGCAGTGGTGTAAGTCGATCCACCATGTGTAAACGAGTAGCTTTTTCAGCTCTGTTACACCAGCCACTGTTATGCCACCGTGACGCCCAGCGAAAACTTCCACTCTCGCCTGCCAGTGAAGCAGCGCAATGAGCCAGCGGCCGGAGCGTTTGTTCCGCTCATCGCTTACAGGGTCCTATGTACCAATGACCAAAAACATCAACCATCCATCTGTCGCTGTTTTTTCACTCGGGGGGGCTTATTCTGAACAGGTGACCACTTATTAACACTACAAGGATGGCTCGGAGGTCAGAGTGCTGAGCTGACACTGCAGGAATTCTGGGCTTTTATCTGAACAGCTGCCCGCGATTAAATAGGCGGTCAGTTGATGGTTTTAGCCTGGTCTCCAATGACTGCACTAAAAAAAACCCCAATCTGTTACATTTTGTGAGTCTCTATTTTAGTCTTTTTAAGTCTTTAGGTCTCTATGTAAATCTACGTGTCTGGATGTACATGGGTCTTTTTAATTTGTTCTGTATTTATTTAACTCCAGAACACCGTATAAACAGAGACTTCCGATCTCATTGGGCTCTCGCTTGGCTATAAACGAAGGTCACCTTCCGCCATCAACCTAAATTCCACTGAGCCACGACGTGTGGTCACAATGTCCAGGTCGCGGGCTGAACGTTGGCGTTAGTTTGTGTGAACAGGATTCTTTTCCCCGTCATTTCCATTCACATTTCGTCCAACGTATTGCGAATAAGCCGATGGACGATGTCACACGGAGACGACGCATCGGCCAGTGCGGCATGAGCAAATCAAGGAGCATAAACCAGTCATCCTCACAGCAACGGCTTTTGCCTAACCATCAAACGAAGACGGTCACCGCATCGCGGGTTTTCGGATGCACTTCTGCGGCCGTCTGGAAGTCACTGCAGCTATGCACTTTTAAATATAGATTGAAAAAAAAAGATATTTCGAACTTTTTCTTTTGCTTTTAGTTCGTTGTCCTTCCCCTGCTCCTCCGATTAGCGCAGTTGGCTCCGTACGGTGCGGAGGACGTTCAACACGCACATACAAGTACGCTTATCGTTTTATGTTCCGCCGTGTTCACTGCCGCAGGCAACGAGTTTGTGCGTCACAACACCCTGCAGCTGAGCCGAGTCTACCCAGCCGGGCGTAGGACTGACTCCTCCAACTACAACCCGCAGGAGTTCTGGAACGTCGGCTGTCAGATTGGTGCGACGGCCGTGTATGACAACGACACCTGGCGGGATGCAGCGTCTCCTGTTGGAACGAGTCGTTTTGTGTAGAGCTGCAATTATCAGCGATTTAAATTATTTTTGTGTTAATCCGTTGATTATTGCTTCGATTATTTCGATTACAAAATAATGGTGCTATAAACGCAGTTCATCTGGGCAGGGATTCATAACATCATCACCGCCGTCATCGCTAATAATCATTGCCGTCATCACGCATCATCACGCATCATCACCACGTCACGCTAGGCATGCGTTGCGCTTCCAGTATTTTGGAAGCCGGATGTCGGGCATCTGCAGTAAAAAAAATAGTTGCTATTTAGCCGATTATTTAAAATGTATCTTATAATAAACACTTTATTGTTTGTTTCAACACTAATTTTAAGCAAAGCATCATGTAATTGTTAAAAGCACTTGAATAAAGAATGGAAGCAGTGAGACCTGATGAACAAAAATGTTTGTTCTCTACCGGGTGAAAGAGTTTAACAAGGTTTACTGTAGACAGGAGGGTTAAGGTGTAATTACGTCAGACAGAAATTAGTCACAATTATTGGTGTGTAGCCTCCATTTACATCGCCGTTGTGAGTGTGGTGCATTGATTCAATGTTCTAATTAACTTTCATGCCACACTTTGTATATTCATTTTTGGCTTGTTTTGTCAGGAAAGTTGATATGTTTTATTTTATCAAAATACTGATAACAGGAAAGTAATACTCCTTTTACATCTTTGCTAATTAGTTCGCACATACAATTATTGAACGTGCCAAAATAAACTATATGTAATTCTGAGTTTTTATAAATATAGTAATATTCCTCATAAGCATCTAAAAATAATCCACACCTCTGTAACGTGGTGTGCTGATGCTGCCAAAGTGTAACTGTTCACATAATGAACTTGCAATCCAGAGATCAAGTATCTTAAATCCTCTTCTTGTCCACCCAGAAGTTTAAATTGGTTAACCACAGTCAGTTGTAAAGCATGGTCGGGTAAAGTGTGGGTACGTCCACCTCATCCAATACCCTCTAGCAGAAGCCCTTCCGCCAGCAAGCAATTTCAGGGCTGCACCGTCACCTGTAACGTTTTGCACTCCAATTTGGCTCCTCCTTGGTTTGTGTTCCGTCTCAAGTGTCCCCACAATGGCGCTGAATTTCCCAGACGGTAATTTTTAAACGTAACCATATTGACAATAATCAGCGTATACTATCGGCTAACAATAATAATCTGCATTCTTGTGACGTGCTGAGCTTTGACCTGGATGTGTCTCGGCTTCCGCCCCCGCCTCGACAGTGGCATTAAACTTCCAGACAGCGGGAGACGAGATGGACCTGCACGATGGGCACTTTCGGCAGAACGGCGGCTGCGGCTACGTGCTGAAGCCCGCCTTCTTGTGTGATCCCACCACGGCCTTCCAGCCGGAGAACCCACAGCCCGGCATCGGCCTGCACACCGTGAGGCTCACCATCAAGGTGGGGCACACCACCTCGTCACCTTTGGCTTGTCCTTGTGTGCCTTGCTTTAATCTCCGGGGCTCCCAGTTGCCGAGGAAAGTGTTTTTTTTTTATTTTGTTTTCTTCAATGACTGTATATTCATGTTTATCACAGGTGCTGAGCACAGGACCAAAGGCCTAAAAGATCAAACAGCCAGCAACAAACAGCATAATGGACTGTTTAATAGATATAAGTTAATAGAGGCACTAAAAAATAACTTGGGGAAACAAGACTATGGGAGGGAATTCCCAAGTGTGAGGAAAGAAGCAGAAAGGGAAGTGTTGTGACCTGGACTATAGTGGTTGAATATAGTATGGAGGAGACGAAAGTCCATCTCGGAGACAGAGTAGACTGGGTCCAGAGTGAATTTGTGCTCTCAGACATCGCCGGTGGTTGAATGTATTCAATATGGGTTTGAAATTCATTTGTGCAGGAGAGGCCCAAGTCTTTTAAAATATATATATAAATTCTTGAGTAAAGAAAAACAATAGAGAAAATTGACGTCATACAACGAGAGAGTGCAAGCGTTGCTACCTGAAGAGCACGCGGTAGACAGATGAACACAAGGGCACGGGTTCACGGTTGTGACAGTCTACCAATTGCTCTGCTAGTGATGAATCTTGTAAAAATAAATTACATTGCATGGATTAACTGATTGCATCAGTTGAGGCTGTGTTTGAAATATACGCTGGTAATAGACTTCGGGGGGCTAATCCCTGTTAGCCCAAACCATTTGCTGCCATCTGCTGCCTGTGCTATCGATGTCATTTCATAAGATGAAGACATTTCCATTCGGAAACTTGGCACCCAGTAGTAACATTAGCCTGTGTTTGACAGTTCACTCTCAACAATTACTTTTGATGTGCCGTTAATTTTCTCGTATGCACACTAGGTGGAGCACTTCCTCACATGCTTTGCTATAGAGTTGTTCACTACATGGGGAAAAAACCATCGAAATAGAGTATATTTTAGTTTTTATCATTGAAAAGGCAAGTTAAGTCAAAACAAATATTATGACTTTTTTGTGCAGTTGAGACCATCAACTCACTTCACTAAGAATATTATTTAGTAATGGGTGCTTGCCCTTACTCGAAATGAAGGCTTCAATGGTTTGGGCCCAGTTCTGAGCCTCTGAAGAGCAAAATGTCAGACATCATGTGAACAAAATTTTGATTTATTATTTTATTGTTTCCCTTCTACGTGACTTTACCGAAAGAACCAAGAATATAATATCATGCTGAACACACGAGAGCGTAACCTGAACACACATGGAAGAGCGTAACCTAAAAACACATTGAAGAGCTGTGCAGCATAACAGTGAAAGCCCACGCGGTAGTCGTTGACTTTCCATGTACAGGGAGCGGATTTTGTCGTCGAACCGATGTCAACAGCTTTCGATAACAAGAAAGATCTGTCTCAGTGTCCTCTGTGGTCATCCATTCATTGTTCGTGAATAATTATCAAATGCTGCCGGCTTCGGCTGCGGAATATGAACAGACTTTAAATGTTCGGAATTTTGCCGGCGGCTTACTATTCACATACTGTTCAGTGTGAGCAACACATTTCGCGGGGGACGTGATTCGAGAATTTAACAGGAAATTCTTAAAGGCAGAAGTCAGTGACAAAACCAATGAAAAAACGCAACTCTATCACGTGTCAACGCTCTTTTGTTCCAAGAATATTCCTGGAAAAGAGTTTGAGATTCAGTGAGGCTTTACTGGATAGGTAGATATATACATAAATGAAGGGCACAGTCATAAAAACATATTGGAACAGTCTACACTTCACCATCAGGCATGGCTTCCAATGTCAAATGGCCTTTGCTGGGCTGGTGGGTTGAATGGGATGTGCAAAGCATAAAATAATGTTGTTGCCATGGAGAGAAACGAGTTAAGTTTGGCTGCGGGATTGCTGAGAAAATTGGCGTGTGAGGTTGGACTACTGTTCGAGTGGCGAGCGATGTGCAGTATAGCCCGGCACTTTTAATAATTTTCGTTTTAAAGCCTCGTATAGCAGAGACTTGACCGGTGCCTCCGTGAGCGTTTATCCGAAGTGCCCATGTGGACCCGCAGGTGATCAGCGGGCAGCAGCTGCCCAAGGTTCCACACAGCAACAAGGGCTCCATCATCGACCCGCTGGTGCGCGTGGAGGTGCACGGCGTGCCGCTCGACAACGCCCGCTACGAGACCAAGTACATCGACAACAACGGTGGCCGCTGCGTAGGGCACGGGGGACAAAGCAGCTGTTACTTTTTTTTTATTAAAGTCGATGCATTTTTGCCGGTATCAGTTGCCTCCTTATCACCTTTCTATCACTGTTACCATGAGTTCTGCGCAAACTTTACTCCTTGATTGCTCCACTCATTTTGAGGACTTGACCTACCTACCAGACAGCCTGTTTCGTCTCGTTCATGCTGTGTTCAAACACCACACTGCAGGCCAAACCGTTTTTTCTTCATTTTCCTCATACCGTTCGATTTTTTATTCCCTCCCACCGTCTTTTTGCCAAAGTTCTCATAACCTTGCTCGACTCCTGCAATGTATTAACTCCGATCTATTTTACCCTTCAACAGCGCTCTTTTCTGCCGGCTGTTTGGCGTTTGAGGCTTTTAAGGCCTGCGCTCCGTAACCACGATGGGACTTCCTTCCCAGTATTGATTTGCCATCTTAATAAACTTCTGCTCGCCATTCCTCCCCCCCGCACCACGACGCCTCCCCGGCTCGCAGGATTTAACCCGCAGTGGAACGAGATCCTGAGCTTCAACATCAACGTCCCCGAGGTGGCTCTGCTGCGCTTTGTGGTGGAGGACCATGACACGGCAACCCCCAATGATTTTGTGGCGCAGTACTCGATCGCCTTCAGCAGCCTACGCCAAGGTGAGCCCTCCTCACGAGGCGCGTTCACGCCTCCACTTTGCTGCTGGTGGTGGTGGCGATGATGGTGGTGGTGATGGTGGCGGTCGTGGGGATGCCGTGGGTGGGGAGAACGACAAATCCCTGGGTCACGTTTCCAGCCTCGAGCGACACAAGCCGGTGGATAAATAGAATCACTGGAACGTGGAGCAGGCGGCTCGCTTGTGTAATCCACAGCCTTTAACAATGAACCGATTTTAAAAGTGATGTTTACGCTCGCGACACATGCGTTCAATTGTGCGTGCAAGCATCGGTTATTTTCATTCGTATACATGTTCTACGGTAATTGCTTTACGTGACCCCTCCAGCCACTAGAGGTGTTACTCTTCACTACAATGTAAATGTAAAAAAAATATTGCACAAAATCGTAACCATAAATTGTGACAGATAGGTATTTGTTTAAACCTCAGGCTGTCAAATGGTTTGGTGTGAATGCAGCACTGGCGCATCGTAGATCGCCTCTGTATTATAATCACTCATGAGGCCTCATACGTGTTTGCTGAAAGTGGAAAACCCATCCCCTCTTGATGCAGGAGCCACACGCCTCAGCCCCACCCCCTCCATTTCCCCACAGTCGTGTTTCTCACAGCTTCCGTTCGCATTTCCAGGACTGACGATGCACGTCCCGGCTGACCGCGCGTGCGCGTGTGTGCCGCCATCGCAGGTTACCGCCACATCCCTCTGCTGTCGCGTGATGGGACGCGCGTGGAGCCCTCGTCCCTCTTCATCCACGTGAAGATTGCCAATGTCACGTAACGTCGCAGACAGGCGGGCAGACTGGCAAGGCGACCGGCGGCCCCAGCGGGGCAGAGTGCGACTCGTGAGAGCGACGTTCGTGTCGAGCGCTGTCGGCGTGCGTTTGTCCCTCGCCTCGCGCCCCCCCCCCCTCCCCAGTGTGTCGGCGTTCCGTTTAAGTGTGCGGTCGGTTCGACCGTCAGATAACGATGAGCGAGGTGTGGCGGTGCTCGTTCAGAAATAGAAGACAGTGGAGTCTGAGTTGTGTTTAGTTAAACAAAAAAATCCACCGGTTTATAGATTTTTTTTTTATTTCGTTGGATGTTTGTTTTGTTTCTGTCTCGTGCTCTGCTGTGAGTCCACATGCATTCCCGGCTGAAGTGCTAACAACTATAGTGATCCAATTGCACTCTCCGTTTTTGTACATCACAGCATACGTGTTTTGAAGCTGCTGCATTCAATAAGCATTGTGGTGATATTTATGAAAGATAACTGCAAATGCGCGTTCTTAATGTATTTATCCATATGCAATAAAAAAAAAGTTCTCACTATAGTATATATATAGACAGTTGGGGCAAGGGCTGTTAGCAAGCACTTATTTAGGATGCAACAATGCATGTTACCAGGTTGTCACTTATGGTTCAGTCGATGGAGGGGAGGCCCAGTACCGGCTGAGATCTTCACCACTGATGTTAGCCATGGATATGAATCAAACTCGGATACCCGGTTTGTAACGCAGTGTGCTAATCGTATTGCACCACCACCACCCACGTATATTAATAGTTCATTACATTCAGACATTTTACAATGATGCAGAAGTCTTATCAGATCGCTCCTCGTGTTTTGTATTGTTTGTTAATATGGACCGATATTCGTGGCCAACACAGCTCGTTAAATAGTCCAGTGTGATGCACGTGTTTGTTGCGTTTTAGTTCCCTGTTTTTATAGCCCATGGTTTTATAGATAAAAAATTTCATTCCAGTTTTTTTTTTACTTCCGTTGAATCCCTTGTCAAATGTGACGTTCAACAGCTCTATGTAAAAGAGATCATCGTTGTTATGCTTAGTGCATGAATGTACCTGATATTTTAGCTATTCACCACGTCTCATTGCAGTGACTACCTCCTGACATGAGATGGTCAAAGGTATTCAAGAACGGATTGTCAAACGTGCACACAGACTAACGCTGCCTTATTTTTAATAAACCCGAAAAACGATGCACAGTGCACATTTTTAAGCATGCCATTTGTATATCATAATGATGCTTTTCAGTGAGCCAGATAATTTTGATGTTTTTTTGTAATTTACCTCCAATTTTCCCTCAATTGCTGCATCCGGTAATGTGAGGAAGCTTCCATCCACATCTTTTGCAGAGCAATGCAGCCCTTTGTGTTTCAGAAGGGCCCACAGAAGTGGATATCGCAGAGCTACCTCCGAGATCAACATATTTCCACCCCCCATAGCACGTTCCCGCCCAGTTCATCGTATGAGAGAGTAAATGTCCGTCGGATGACAGTCAAACCAATATTTTAAATCTGTAGGTTGAATTTTATCAAAACTGAATGTCATATTTGTTGTTTAATTATATTATTGGTGGCTGGGCTGACACGATCAAATCACTACACTGGAGAAGCTCGTTTGATTACAGGCAACTGCCTGGAATCACAAACATAGGATCTTGGCGATGCGAGGTCAACGATCTGACCTGTCACATTGTTTTAAAGTGACCTCTCGTTCTCTAAACTTTTGACAACTCATATGCGAGATAGAGGTATTGCATGTTATTCAGGGGATAACGAAATGTCGTTCAATCGGTAGATATCGATTCTATTCTTGGGTCTTTCGGTAAAGTCACGTAGATACCTGGCAGCCTTTTGATTGGTGGAAAACCAACCACCGTCGGGTTGGCTGCCCACCACTTACATTAACATTGGCTGTTGACATTTGGGCTACGCCCATTTCAAACCCTTATAAACAGTTTGCCTTGGAAGCTAAGCCCCCTTTTCCTGAAGACGACCGCTTGTGTTGTGATCGCAACGTCATAGTTTTTTGTTATTTTTTGTTGTTTTCTTTGAAACTATCTACGTGACTTTACCGAAAGACCCAAGAATATGAATTCCTGCAGTCGCGAAAGCTTTAAGTCAAGATTTAGATATCGATTATGTAAAGTTCACGATACACGTAGAATTGCATGTGAGAGTTTTTCGATTCTTATACGATGTATGTAATGGGTTCACGTGACCCCTCCAGTCACTTGTTGCCACTAACTTCACATTTAATCGATCAACTATTGAATTGTTACACCCATATTTGATCTCACGTGAACTTTGAATGTGTGAACTTTGTAAATTGAAAAGTCACTGTGAAAGCAGGACGTAGTGTTTGTACCTAAAAATCGACCACTTGTCGGCATTAAACGTTATTTCAATCATCTGTGTAACATGGAGCAGCTGTGTGCGAACACGTGGGGTGTGTTTTATGTACTGTGTCCGATGAGTTAACCGCTGCTCTCGTTGACACAGTAAGGTCTGAATGCTAACTGTGTTCCTCTCCCCAATGTGTTTCCGAGTTATACTGAGTGCTGTTTAGCGTGCTACACAACGTTTTGCTTTTTCGTGAACTACAGAAACTCCAGGATGTGGAGCGAAATGTCAGACGTGTCGAATACGCGGTGCAGCCCAAAAACACAACAGAGAGCTTTACATCAAACCCACAAAAACATGTCGTTAACTAGTTACGTTTAATGCGTAACAAAGTTGATGTCCTTAAACCAAAACTCATCCTGCTTGTGCGCAGGATAACAATTACATATCCTCACTATTTTAGCGAATTAATGCGTTTTGGAAGTTGTAAATAATTTTTACTTGCAATAAGCTATTAGTGACATCATAGTTAACATCATATACAACTGTGAAAACCGGGGAGTGGAACTGATGTTTGGGTATGGTTGTGTGGTTAACCCAAAACTGTTGAACCAGCTATGTTGCAATCTGTGCAAAGCGGTCTCAAAAGTATCAGTTCCGGCTAACCGTTTACTAAAATCCAGTTAAAAATGTTCAAATGTGCATATATGATCAAAAATAGCTATGCAATACACGTTACGCAATGCACATTGTGCAATGTGTATTGTTTTGGTTGCTTATGGTGTGTTCATTATTGTCTTTGTTCAGTGGTTTTGTGCTTGCGTTAAATACATACACCATAATCGAACAAAGCATGAGCCATTGCAGAGCGTTTTATCAAATTGACTTGAATTCCTCATTTAATATTTATGTAAGAGGTAGCCCTGCAGTTATTCACTAAAAATCAAATCTTATTGTGCAATATGGAGAGAAAATTAATTTGATCTAATCGTCAAAATTGGGAGCTCGAGGCCTGTATCTCTGTGTGCCTAGCCAATTCTCCGTGTGTTGAGTGAGTGCCAAACTTGGTACACAAATTGTTTCACTGACGGACTCCACTGCATATGTATGTTGAACTGTTTCCGCACTGTATGTAGCCAACCATGGAAATCGGAGGTCCACTCCAATGATTGCGGTCCCGGCTATCAGACAGTTCCTCAGTGCTGGTCAAGCTATCAGCGCAATATATCATTTAAACTTTTCCTGTTTCAGGTTGTGAGAGCCTCCACTACAACTCCAATGGAGTTTGAGCGAGTGGTGAAAGACGGAGTCTCAAGATAAGGGTCATGCATTGGAATGTTTCAATTTAAAATTAATTAGTTTGTGTGTGGTTTCATCCTTACTATGTCTCAAGCGTAGAATATCCAGCCCTGCCATTGCTTCCATTTTCCATTGGGGGATATTTAAGGGAGACCAAGAGTGAAAAGAAAGTGAAGTACAAATGGAAAACAAAGCACTAACCAATGATTACACCACCATCAGACGAAGGTCAAGAGGTCATCATGGCAAATGCTGCAGATGCCACCACACCTTGCCATCACTTCCTGCTGATAGTCTCCATTCAACCTCTACGGTCTGCTCTTATAGCATTCAATCCAAGTCTTCCTGAACCCAGGTCTTCTTCATCTTGATCGCCAACCTGTGGAAAGCCAGTCCAACACCTGTCTCAGTAAATAACACCAAAATACAGTATAACCAAAACTTATCAACCAGTTTAAATCGGTAGCATGCGGTGTTATGCCCGGTCATGTGACGCACCATCTGACCATATCAGTCTTCGTCCTCATAGATAGTCCAAGGGCCCAGACAAAATTTATTTTCCAACGTGCCTTTCAACAGGTGATAACTTCGTTCAATTTTATCGTTCCGGCCACATAACTTAGCAGCGCTGGACATGCTGCCATCTCGGGTGAGACCAAACTCTGCTCTGGCGCCTGGAGAATGCGCGGGGGCAGTTGGACCAGGCGCGCAACCCGCTGGGCGCGAAGGCCCTTTTAAGGCGCTCGGGGCTCCGTGGCCCCCCGCTTCATACTCGGGTACCCTCCCTCCATCCCTCTCCCCGCCCTTCGTTTTTCCCTCCCTGCCTCCCTCCCTCGACCCCACCGCCGTTGCAGCTGTGAAACCACGCCAGCATCGGGATCATCCGCAAGGCACACGGCGCAAACCCAAGTTTTGAAGGGGAGAGGGAACACCTCGCTTTCAATGTGGCACCGGCCGAGTGCGCACGGACAGACATCGGCACGGGGGTGGCCGTATATTTTGTCCGCCGTGATTGCTGAGCGTGACCTTGAAGCGCGGCTCAAGGTGGAACGCGACACGTGCGCTCAGAAAGGTTTCACGGCGTCGAATCTCCCGACCGTGTCCCCAAGAGACACCGCGGCCGGGTTACGTCTCTACCGAAGGGTTATCTCTCTGTCTCTCTTGCGTGGGAGGACATCTCATCTCAAATGGGCTTATCGCTTTATTTTAATCCACTGTTTACTGGTAACGGCTACAACACTTGGCAGGCAGTGATCTTTGTGGCTCACCAGCTGAGTGTCGGGAGCAAACGAGAGCCGCATCAGCAGCAGCAGCAGGGATAGTGAACACGATGGGGACAATGATTAATCAGCAGCTGCTGAGAGGAGCTGGTCAGTTAGGGCTGTTGCATCGATCTTCTTACGGGTACCACGTGTGGGAAGAGTTTAGTTTTCTCCACAACCCTCAACTTTGGCTCTGTGAGTTTAGGTGAAGTGTGGGAGAGTCCTGAACCCTGTAAGTTAAAATGTAAGCGTCACGTTTATGAAGTTAATGGCACGTGGCTTAAAGCACCACGACAGCAGGGGTTTATTGTCGGTTTCACTGCAAGTTTGAACGGGGTTTATGAGCCAGTTTTTTTTGGGTGGTTTTAAATATTAAGTTGGGTAAAATATGAAAGCGATCTAAAATAATGCACAGCCCTTTGTCGATCCATTTCTGGATCAAAGTCTCCCCACGACGTGTCGGAAATCACAAAAGTGATATGACCATGCTTCACCAGGCTGGTTAGTACGAACTGTTATACAAAAAAGAAGAATATCATCAGCCATGATCTATCCACTGCTGGATGAAGGTCTCTCCAAGCTGTCGCCATTTCTGAATATATTCACTTCCAAAAATCGCTACAACTTATTCCAAATGTACAGAAATAAAAGGTATTATTCAATTGTGATACAGGGAAAATAACACATCAAATATATTAACTCCATCATTTACTCGCAGCTCCCAATATGTTGATCTATAACACGAAAAACCCAATGCAGCGACGTTACACAGTGGGTAGGAGCAGTGACGCAGTAATGAACACGTAGCTGTGAATTCGGCGAGTTTGATCAACGGCCACAGTTAATATAATCAGTGCTGGCGATATACAAATCGATCATGGCCACCTCCCTTGACTAACTCGAACAGACCAGCATGGTGAAGTCTGATTTTTTTTAAAAAGCCCTTTCTGGACCGACACGGCGTGGATAAGAGGCCTCCATCCAGCAGCGGATTGACAAAGGGCTGCCAATCACCGCACAGAAGAATTCGCGCACGCAAATGCCCTGTGTTCTCTGCACATTGCCTCGACGTTTCGAGTTCTTTCCGCGCTCACGCGCACCGGAACCATAAACCAATCGATCATCAACATCGATTCTCAGGCTCACGATATAAACACGTCAAATCGTGCGCGCGGCGATCGATATTCTTGGACCCGTGCGTGCGTTTCGTGTGACGGGGACGACGCGACACCTGCAGCCCCGCAAGGATCCCGCTGCATTCGCCAATAAATATGTTTATCGATTCTTGAATGCCATCGGAAACATCAAACACGACAATTCATCGAATTGCCGCGCGGTAAGTGTTGGAGAGTGGGTTGTTACACCTCTGCCGAAGGGCCACACAGCGACAGGGCTGCCATAAATAGCCTCGCCATGTACAGGTAGGAGGAGGAGGGCATGGGGTGACAGATTTATTTTTTTAAACCAGTGGTGGGGCGGGGGGCGAATGGAGGGGAGGTTGTGGAAGGCAGGTGGGGGGGGGGGGTGACCGCTGCGTGCTTTCAGGTGTTGATTAGCGGCGCTTCGCCTCCAACTCAATTAGGACTTCGGGGGTGTCTTTGGGCTGCGCGCTGCCGGTTGAGGAGGCACGGACAGACGGGCGTGCGTGGAGAACACGGCCTGTGCGCGCGTCACCTTTCGCAAGAAAGAGCCCTTCGTCCTCTACAGCGTGGGTTTTCACTCGGAGAAAGGGACT